TGAGGTAGCAGGGGTAGTCGCCAATGGATACGGTGAGTCATCATTGCTGCAATGCGTGCAATAAATGATCACACGCAATGACACGGTTCAACCACACACATACACACACAGTTGTGCTGCGCACCTTGGCATAATAAGCAGTCCGGAGTTTCTCCTTGAACTTCTTGAGAACAACAGCGGTGTGGCCCCATGTTCCGTCGTGCACGTCGCAGTACGCGCCCCTGATGACAGGTTGCATGGGCGTTGGTGTTCGCTGAATCAGAGAGAACGAAGGTTGCGAGCGCGTGCGTGCGATAAAACACAAAACCCCAACACCCCAACATCAGACAGCACACACACAACACAACACACACACACACACACACATAACTCACGATGAGATGACTGAGCCGAATGTCATGCTGTCGAATGACGTCATCCAAAATGCAGAGTAGCGTTCTGAAATATCATCAGACTCAACCTGGGCCTGTTCCAGCAGCTCCAATCGCCGCGTCAGCTCCTACATACACACACAACATAGTTGCACGTCGTTGTCGTGTCAAACACGCAATGCAATAACATGACATATTCACACCGCGATACACCCTACACACTGCACCCTGCATGCGCCAGTCGGTGTGCGCACACAATCCAAAGCATGGCGCGGTATCACATCCCCTGCACACACCACCACCACCACCACCTCCTCCTCCTCCACCACCTTCTCCTCCTCCTCCACCTCCACCTCCTCCTCCTCCTCCTCCTCCTTCTCCTCCTGCTCCCTCCCTCCTCCTCCCTCTGTGCACACATCTCTTCAATGCGCAAGCGTCTGTGGCTGACTCACCGCCACCTGCGACTCCTTCCTGATTCGCTCCTCGTCGCCCTTCTCCTTCAGCTCCCGCACAAGGCGGTGCAGCCGTGAAATCTCCACCTCCTCCGCTAGCGCCTTGGATGCAAGCTGGGTGCGCGCCTGCACACGCACGCGCGTGATTGACAAAGAGAGAGAGAGAGAGAGAGAGAGAGAGAGAGAGAGAGAGAGAGAGAGAGTGTGTGTGTGTGTGTGTGTGTGTGTGTGTGTGTGTGTGTGTGTGTGTGAGCGAGTGACTGCCAAAGACAGACAGACACACAGATATACACACAGACACACACAGATATACACACACAGCTGCACAAGAGACAAGGTCCGTGGCTGGCTTGTACAGGCATCGAGACACATTTCTGCGTTCACAGCACCACCCCCCCCCACCACACACACACACACGCACACACACACCTCGTGTTCAGTCTTGAGCGCCTGTTTCGTCTCTTCCGCCATCCGTCGCAGCTTCTCCTTCTCCGTCAGCTCTTGGTCCCACATTGCCCGATCAATCGGCGACACAGCGCCATCACTGCCGCTGCCAAGACGACCAACACCACCATCAACACCACCATCAACACCACCATCAGCGCCATTACGTCCATTCACGGTAACGGATGGTGTGCGTTTCGCCTTCCCAGATGGCGGGTGCTCTGCTGCTTCTGTACCGTCAAATGAAAACACGTCCTTCGGTCGCTGAGGTGGCCCCGTGCCTGTCACTGTCGCCGCTGCTGGCGTGGTTGCTGTTGCGGATGTGATTGCGAGCGGAGAGGAGGACGTGCGTCGGCCCTTCGCTGCTGTCGTTGCTGCTGTTGTTGCTGGGGTTGTTGGTGCTGTCACTGGTGCTGTCGTTGGCGTCACAGCATTGCTGCTGCCAGCTCGACCAGCGGGTGTGACTGGCGCCGATGTCACCATGGCACCGCCACCGCCATTGCCAGTGCCAGTGGGCGTGGGTGTTGTGGTCGTGGGCGGTGTGGTGGGCGGCGACTTGATGGACGCTGATGATGAGCGACGAGACGCACGCGTTCGTGGTGCAGCCGGCAGCTGGCGCGCAGCCGTCATTGTCGCCTCATTTCGCACATCCTGCTGTTGCTGCTGCTGCTGCTGTGATGGAGGGTGTGGGGGTGACTGCTGTGATGGTGTGGATGTCGGCGACTGCTTGGGCGAGGGCGCGCCCGCCAGCAGCTTGGGAGCGCTCTGCTTCGACAGCTCACCGTTTGGCAGCACCTCGCATGTATTGTTGTGTGTGTGTGTGTGTGTGTGTGTGTGTGTTTGTATTGTGTGTGTGTGTGTGTGTGTGTGTGTTGCGGGAGCGTGTGTTGTGTGTTGGGTGTTTGTGTTTGTGTGTTGTGTGTTGGGTGTTTGTGTTTGTGTGTGTGTGTGTTGTGTGTGTGTGTGTGTTGCGGGAGCTGTGTCAGGCACGCACGCAGGTCCATCACGACACCCCTTCCTCAAGTGGCAATGGCGCAACTGTACGGGTGCGCACCTTCCCCTCTGGCGTTCGTCCAGCTGATGGCACATCTGCAGAGATATACAAAGACGGATGGAGCTTGTCAGACGCGCACGTGCAAACACAGCACACAAGCAAACACAGCACACACGCAAACACAGCACACACATACACACGCGCACACGCGCACGTGCAAATATCCCACAAGCAAACACAGCACACACGCAAACACAGCACACACGCACGCACGCACACACATACACACGCGCACACACGTACGTGATATGTCCCAGAGTTTGATGCTTCCATCCCACGAGGTTGTGGCCACCGTCTGGCCAGTCGGACTGTGGTCAACAAAGGTGTCGCAAGATGCACGCGCCGCAGTGACAGCATCAGCGTGGTGTGGTAGTTCATGCATGTGCTGACGGAGACACAATCGCTCATACAAAGACACGCACACGCACACGCACACGCACACACACACACGCACACACACACCTACGCGCACACATCCACGCACCTGAAGTCACAGGAAGAGGCGCACTGCCTGTGCCCGTGCAAGATGGAGACGCATTTGCAGCTCTGCAGGTTCCAGATGCGCGTTGTCGTGTCTGCACACGTGGACGCCATGAGCCAGCCGTCCGGGGAGAAGGCGACACCAGTGACAATGTCCGTGTGCCCTCGGAACACCATGAGCTGGCTGCCGTTGTCGATGCTCCACGCGATGATGGTCGTGTCGCGGGAAGCAGATATGACGATGCGGTCGTCCAGCGGGCTGAACTTGACGTCTGTGACGGCGTCGCGATGGCCCGTCAGCGCCTTGAGCTTCCGCCGCGTGGCCGCGTTCCAGATGATGAGTGTGTGGTCCTCGGAGCCCGAGGCAATCAGGCGGCGGCCCGGTGGCGAGAAGCAGCATGCCAAGACGGGCGCACTGTGACCGACCAGCTTGGACAGCATCTCGCCCGTGCCCGTGACCCACAGGATGACGCTCTCGTCTGTTGAGGAGGAGGCGATGGTGCGGCCGTCCGGCGCGAACGAGACGTCGTTCACCTCCAGGCTGTGGCCGCGCAGCGTGCGCATGACGCTCCCTGTGTCTGTGTTCCAGATGCGGACGGTCTTGTCCTTGGACGCCGTGGCCAGGATGTGGCGGGTGCGCGGGGAGAAGGCAAGCCCGTTGATGCGGTCATGGTGCCCGCGCAGCGTGTGCACCTCGTCAAAGTTGGCTGTGTTGAACACCTTGGCGGTCTTGTCCTTGGACGCGGACGCCAGCAGGGATCCGTCGCACGAATACTCCAAGGTCAGCGATGGGGTGGCATGCGCCAGGACGGTGCGCAGCAACCGCTCGGCATACATCGTATCGGCGGCCATTGCGCTGAGACTTGGACTGGGACTGCGTGTCAATGGGCACGTGCAGAGACGTGCGCGTGTTGTTCGCGTTGGTCAAAGTTGGCGGCACGTGTAGGGAGGAGGGCGGGGTGTGGCGCGTGTTTGGGTGAGAGGCAAGGCTCGAGGGAGGAGTGGTTGGTGTGTTGGCTGGTTGGTTGGTGTGCTGGGTTGGTTGTGGCTCGCGTCCCGTCCAAACGCGATGGTGATGCTGATGCTCTGTCGGAAGGCTGTTGGAAATGTAAGTTGTCACACACAGAGCAACCACAGGTGTTGCTCTGCAGCTTCGCGAGGATTGATGTGAGGGATTGGTACTTGCTGCTGCTGTTGCTGCCGGTGCTGATGGTGGTGGGTGGGTTGGGGGAATGCGGCACACACACACACACACACACGAGCGGAAGAGGAGGTGGCGTGTGTGATGATACCTGTTGTGATCAACAACTGCGACACCCACACAAACAACACGGCGTCTGATATTGCTTCTTTCGAAATTCGTGCATGCACGCAAACGACGAGCAAGACTTTGGGAGTGATGTGGCTTTGCTGTTTTGTTGGTTGCGTTGTGTTGACTTGCTTGCGGCTGTTGCTCCTGCTGTTGTGAGTCTTGTGCTGTTGTTGTTGGGTTGGCGTGTGTGAGGCTTGCTTGATGTTGCTTCACTTTTTGGCTGTCTTTTCGTGTTGTCATAGTGTGTGGGGTGGTTGCTACATGTGCTGTACGAGCAATCAAACGCGTGGCTCATCCACACAGGCAGACACAGGTGCAGATGCAGACACAGGCAAGTAGCGCCAAGAGCACCGATGCTTCACAGCTGTCGCCACCATGCCCCACATCACCTCTTCATCTCAAGACTCGAACAACAACTCTCAACAAAAGAGGCCAATCGCGGCTTCAACTGGTATCAGCCTTTGGCTTCTTGTTCTTGAACACAATCTTGATGTCCTCCTTCTTGATCTGAGAGGGTGGGAGACAGAGGCCGTGTGACAGTGTATGAGAGTGGGAGGAAGAAAGGCAGAGGGCATGCGCGTGTGTGGATTGTGCATGTGTGTATGTGTGTGCGTGTGTAATGTCCTGTGTAGAACAAGGTACTACAACGAACAGTGCGCATGTGCGTTTGTGTGTGTGCGTGTAATGTCCTGTGTAGAACAAGGTACTACAACGAACAACAGATATCGTCAAAACATCACGACAGCCAGCAGGCCAGGCACGCACCCCGTCGAATTTGCTTGTGAGAAAGTCAACAATGTCGACTGTGACGTCGCCGGTCACCTGCACCTCATCGTCGCCAACCACGCTCGAGCTCGCAGCAAACCTTTCAACACAAACCCCGCCCGCACGTGTCCGTGAGCCAAAGCAGTGCAATCTATTTCGCGCGCGCGAATGCACAGACAACCTACACCAACATCTGCAGTAACAACGGCAACCAACGCCAACAACGGCAATAGCAACAGCAATAGCAGCAGCGCTGTACTGCTTACCGCCCGGAGATGGCCTTTGATGCCTTCTTCAGGTCGATGCCTGCACGAGGCAGCACAACGCAAACGACACACGAGTCAGCGCATGCAGTCTTCGCATCCAATTGCATCCAATGGCATCCAATGGTATCCAATGGTACCTACCACGACACAACCACAACACAACCACAACACAACCACAACACAACCACGACACAACCACAACAAAACCACAACACAACCACAACACAACGCAAACACACCACACCACGGCAACAACGTCAACCCCACCGAATGCCTTGAGGCCAGCAATGTTGGACGCAAACTTCTTCTTTGTGCGCTGGATGCGCGTGACGACAATCGCCGACTTCTGCTTATGCAACAGTGCATGCATGTGTGTGTGTGCGAGTGTGTGTGTGTGTGTGTGTGTGTGTGTGTGTGTGTGTGTGTGTGTGTGTGTGTGTGTGTGGAGGAAGCAAAGGTGCAACAGGCGAGAAAGGTCAGTCAAGGAAGGAGTATGCATGTGCCAGTTGTCATGTGCACGTGTCATGTGCACGCCACATGTGCGCATGTGCCATGTGCAGAGTACATTACACAGTGCAGTGAGCTCATTGCACTCGCAGGGCATGCAGTGTGGCGGTCGCACCTTGGTGTCCTCGGTGAATTTCACTGTGGTCGAACGCACACAGCACATGAAATGAAAAGAGGCGGCAGAGGATATGAATGGGTACACGTGCATCACCAAAGCAGAACATGCACGTTCAAGGATGTCAACACATGTGCACGCTCGACACGCACACATATGACATACACATGGGTACACCACACAACCGCGTACCTTGTGCAGGCTTCTTCTTGTCCTGGACCTCATCCAAGTTCACTGCAAGAACACACAAAGGAGGAATGACAAGCGATCAGCAATGACAGCATGATGGAAATATGACGGGAAAGGGCGGTAGCACGTGTCGACAATCAGAAACACAGTCACACACACACACACAAGCACACGCACACACGCACGTACGCACACACGCGCAAACAAAAGCATGCAACACTCACAATCGCCGAGGAGCTCTGCAAACAGGTCTGGGTCGTCCTCCTTCAGCCTCGTGTAGCACTGCTTCTTTGTGTTTGAAAACTCACAGTACTCGTACGGCATGGTACACACTGCATGGAGCATTACCCAGAAGAACCACCCCCCCCCCCATTGTGTGTGGATGGCATGACATGATGGTGAGCGCGTGTAACTAACAATCCATGCTGCGATGAACGTGGTGATTTGCGTCCACAATCAAACCAGGATGCAAAAAGCAACACACCCCTCCTGTATTTCATTTTTCCTTCCTTCACACCACACATGAAAGCCCCACGCCGCCTCACCTGGGCAGTACTTGACCACAACCGGCTCGGGGATCTCCATGGGGGCGCCCTCGCCCTCGCTCTGATGCTCATCGTCAGACATGATGATGGTTGGAGTCGTGTGGTTGGTGTGCTTGTTGATATGGGACTACTATTTATGGCGTCGTTAAACAGCTGCAGCCATGCATCTTTTTCAGTGTCGTGTCGCCACACCATTGGTGTGCGCATGCTCGTGGCTTGTGGAGGGTGGCGGGCGTGTGGCGGTGGTGAGAGGGGTGGGGTAACACCTGCGCGAGATGACAATGACAGCCAGGGTGAGGAGCACAGCCAACACTGTTCGTCCGTGCTGCTTGATCAGTTTCACCAGCACCACATTCACCAGAAACGAATCCCAGGCCTCCTCAAAGTCCTACACATATTTTGCAGCGTGGATGTGTGTGTGTGTGGATGTGTGTGCGTGTATGTGTGTGTATGTGTGCGGGCGTGTGGATGTGTGTGTGTGTGTGTATGGATGTGTGTATGTGAGAGGGGGCAAACTGAGTCCATCATGCGTGTGTGTGTGTGTAACAGTGTCCCGATGCAATCAATGAATGAGCCATGAACAATGAATGAATGAATGTGGGCTGGGTGTTGTACTGTTACCGCTGGTGGCGCCATAAGCTTCTTCTCCGTCGACAGCAGCGTGTCAAAGAACGGGCAAAATGCAAACGGGCTCGGCTCCGATTCGTTTACAAACAGCGGCTCTGGTGGTGTGTATGCGTATGTGTATGAGTATGTGTATATGTATGTGTAAGATGTGTGTGTAAGATGTGTGTGTGTGTGTGTAAGATGTGTGCGTGTAAGATGTGTGTGCAAGATATGAGTATGTGTATTTTCATATGTGTGGCCGAGGCGCGCGCAGGGCGTTCATGGCGGAGCACACCAGCCAATCTACCGTGGTCTTCAAGGCGGTGCTGCGTGTCCTCCCAGCGCTCGATGGGTTTGGTGGAGCGCGCAGAGAGATTGCCGTTGTGCAAGTCAAGATACACGGGGTGCTGGTCATCCAGACGCGGCCAATGCACTTCTGTACGCAGTGCACGTTGTATCAGTGGGTGACGGATGAGTGTCGAGGGCGTGCAATGCTCAGAGTCGAAAGGAGGAGAGAAACGCAGGGTGTGTGCTTGTGCGTATGCGTGTTTGCCTTGGAATTGGCAGACACACGCACGCCCTTCCGGCCAACAGACAAGACTCACAGCCCTCAATAGCCACCACCACCACAACAACAACAACAATTCACCACCACCACCACAACAACAACAATTCACCACCACCACCACAACACCACTTTGTCACAACCAGCATATTGCTCGCACCGCCGCTGGAGAGGTTGTGCGTGGAGCCGCGGGCAAAGGCGTACCACAGGTCCTGGATGGTCTGGGAGAGGTGCTTCTCTGCATCGCTCATCTCAGGCTCGCCCTCAAACACATATCTACCATGCACGCAGGCGCAGGAGTGATTGATGGGTGATATCGATGTTGGTTGTGGTGGTCGGGAGGGGGGAAGGTGCAGGGAGCGTTGGAGTGTTTCACAATCAGTCGCAGTCGTCTTGCACACAACACAACAAGTGCAAACTCGCTTTCGCACGCACACGTGCACACACATACGCACGCTCACATGAACTCATACCTGAGTTCTGAGCCGTGGAATGCACCCAGCTGATCAAAGGGCCAACCAAGTGTTTCCGGCACAAACGTGTAGTGGTACACGAACACGTGCGATTCAGGGGACGAGGCAAGCGCCCTGGCGATGGAACGAAAGCGTTGAACGTGCGTTGAACGCGTGTGGAGCGCGTGTGGAGCGCGTGTTGAACGCGTGTGAGTTTGGGGGTCGGGAAGCAGGTGAGCAAGAACTTATCGATGTTGCCCTGACAGAGACAAAGGCGGGGGGGGGCAGAGAGAAAGAGAAAGAGATGCACACACACATACACACACGCGCACACACGCACACACGCACACGCACACACACACACACACGCGCGCGCACACGCACACACGCACACACACACACACACAGAGACGCACACACACACGCGCGCACACACGCACACACGCACACACACACACAGACGCACTATATACACACAACTCCTCCCCTCCCCCAACACATACACACACACACACACATTGCTGTTCTGAGGGTTGAGCAGGACGACATGTTGTCGAGGAGAGCAGCCATCTTCTGGAACGGCGACCACTCCTGCGGAAAAAGCGCCGCAACCCGCCCAAGCTGCCGCCGTGTTGGTGGTGTTGCAACGCCATGCCGTGTGAGGTGTGTGATGTGATGGCCGTGGGCGAGGCGGGGATGAAGGAATGCATGAATACAAATCCCTCCGTCATCTGCACACGCGCGCACACACTTACACAAAGTCTTGCATCACCTCCATGCGGCCGCTATCTCCACCCATGCCACCACCACCGCCACCAGCAGTACCAACATCACCACCACAATCGTGTCCTTTGCAGACCTGGTCTTGGGCGAATGTTGCTGGGAGAAGATCGCGCCATGAGCTCTCAAACACGGCGACGTTGTACGCAATCAGCAGAAACAGAGACGCCTCGTCGGCGTTGTTGCCGATAATCACATCAACCTGGACGCGAAACAGAAGGAGAGGGAGATGGAGAGAGAAAGAGAGTGCCAGAGCAAGAGCGAGAGAGAGAGAGAGAGAGTGTGTGTGTGTGTGTGTGTGTGTGTGTCCTTCATGCGTGGCGACACCCGCCACCACCATTAACATCTTCACCACCACCACCACCACGCAGACAGCTGCCGCCACCACCACACCGTGTACTGACCTTGTTGTGCTTGTGCTGGCGCATGAGGGAGACGGGGTAGTCTGGGATCACGACACCATCAACAGTGGGGAACCAGCGCACCCCCGTGTGCAGCAGCAAGCCGCGCTTGTTGTTGAACGCCCGCTGTATCTTCTCCGCAGGCAGCGAGCGCAGACATGCAAGCCGGTCCCCAGCCTGATTGGGAGGAGTGATTGGTGTGATGGTGTGGCGACGATGTGGTGTGGTGATGTGGTTGTTGTTGGTGATGTGTGAGTGGAGCGTTTGGGCGATGCACGCAACACGTACACGTGGCGGTGTGATGACGTCATGATGAACGCGCGTGTTGCAACAGCAGCAACAGCAAGCAACAGCAAGCAACAGCAAGCAACCACTGCGCAGCAGCCTGTGAACTCACATCCCCACAGCCAACGTGCTTGGCGAGTCGGTTGCCTTGGTCAACAGCCTCTGAGGAGAGGATATCATAAAGATTGGGGACAAGGGGGGGAGGGGGCAGTGGGTGATGGAAAGCCGCTAGTGAGGGCGATTGAGGGCGTCCCCACAAGTACACTGGCACACGTACACACGCACATACACACGTACACACACGTAGGCACACGTACACACGCACATACACACACGTACACATACGTATACATGTACACAAGTGTGTCGCTCACCTTCGTACGACTGGAACTTCATGTCGCACATGGACGA